CAAGAATTTTTTTTAATATCATTTCTGCAGAATACATAGAATAAAAATGAAAAAATAGCTATATAAGTAGGTGAGATTAAGTAGCATAATTGTAAAAAAATTTCTCAAAAATTATAAAAACATAAAAGCAAAAACAAAAAACTAAATGGGCATAGTTTCTTGCCATCTCATCGTCAGTTATTCCTGGGTTCGGCAAAGAGCGAGATACGATTGTTTGGATTCAACAGGTCGCCATGTTGGATATGCCACTTTTCATTTTATAATTTTTACACTGGATTTGTTTTCAAAAAACATAAAAACCTCTTATCGTTTCCAAAATTCAGAAGTAACTCTAACAAACTAAAATACAAGAAACTAAATACCTATAACTCATGTATCGCTATAAGGGGTAATTTGCATCTTTAAACTTGCACCATTGCCGATATAAAAAAAAATACGGGTCTCTTATTTCTGACTATTCTACAAATGTACCAAGTTTCATTAAATTCGGCGAGTTACGGAAAGGTAGGTTTACTTAAGCGAGACTTACGGCGGGAATTATCGAATTGAAATTTAAACGCACACGCTCGTGAGAAATTCATCCGCATGCAAGTGACCTGCGGATACCGGGTGCCTTTCACGACGACGCGGATCGACCTCAATCGTGAGCGTGTGCATCGCGCTCTCCGAGGAAATCTTCTCTTTGATGACGAAACACGTTATGAAAACACGAAACGAACCAAATATGGGATATGTAGCGCACGAAATATAACTCCACCGGAAGTTCCGTAGCCGTCTCGTGAATCTAAACGAAAGCATCTTTATTGCTCGGATGTTACTTTGATCTATCTGGCTCGTGTCTCTCCTACTCCTTTCTTCCCCCCCCCCTCTCTCTCTCTCTCCTTCTCTTTGCATTTATCTATTTAGCTATCTCTTTTCCTCGGTAGCTTTTGAGATTCTATCTTCAGTTATTTTTATTTTGTGTTTCCTTTGTTCGTTAACAAGCGAACCGGGGTAAGGAGTATTACATG